TATCAACGAAGATGACACTACTTTTCATTGTTATTAAACCATAGTTCGGGGAGATGGATTAATGTATTTAATAAATTTATTTTAACGAAAAGCAAATACAATGGTTTCGACTTGAATTTAAACTCGACACGTCATACTAACTTTCCACACGTTAGCCGTTACAAAAAAAAGCACATCCTCTCATACCTAAGGAATAATTTTATTTTGTTTTGTTTCTGTTATTTTACTTATGTAGCTACATTTTATGATCATATAATAGAAATATATTCATTTATTCATTCTGTTTTATATTGATTAACTTTTATTTAGTTTGTTAATCTGAGCGAAATAATTCATACTTATCAATTCGTCGTCACTGTTCCTATCACTTCTCCTCTGTAAATTCCAATTTCGTATTCTTACTTCACAATACTGTTGCAATAATCCACCTCTTGTGTCTGTGCCATCACCTTAACGCAATACCGAATGGAGTAAGGGCCCCTGAGTGTCTGCCAGGTCTCAGCTATCAGCCTTATTTACGACGAGCGAGATCACGCAGCGTGCGATATTATCGCGAGATCAGTTTATCAGGAGACGCTCAGTTTATCTGTCCGAAGATAACGCTTCTATATCGGAAGTTGTCCCTTGTGACATCCGTCATGTTCCATATCGCTCAATGGGTACCATTTTACAGTGATTTCTTGCGTGGAGGAAGCAGAGATTATACGCGTGTGAGCATATTGTGTACGGTTGTATTCAAGTGTGTTCTGGTATGGTATTCTATATTGACAGTTCGATTAGGCCTGTACATGCAGTAGCATATTGCAAACTAAATGTGTAAATTTTAAGTTTATACACATCATCGTGGTATAATGCTTAGTGAGCCTGTCTAAAATACATAGCCGTTTATAATGTGTTGGTTCATTACAAGTTGCCAATTCCTCTGACCTTGTGTCACATTATGATAACATTCATTCTTTTTCGTCTGGATTTCTGTAATGAGAAGTTATTACTAATTACATTTGGATTATTGTCCTCAACAGCAATGATGTGAATTTTCCTTCTTGTGAAAAATTTAAATCCAATATTTTTTCCTTATTTTCTTCAGGTAAAAAAAAGGAAACAATTTTGAGAACAGTTTTTATAGAACAGCCCTTAAAGTACAAACTTATTTTAGAAATATATGTGGCTGTATGTGTGTATATCATATATTCCAAGTACTTTTGACCATTGATGTTCGTTTTAAAGGAAGGAATGAAAATAAAACAGTGGAATTAGAGATATTCTAACAAGATATTGAAATGCCTCATTCGACAACAAAAGAAAAACACTAAAATGAGTAACAGACATTATATTTCCTCTGTCCGTTCTATTTTAGAGAGCATTTTGAAACGAAGGACTGGTGCCTAAATACACTATGCGTAATAATAATAATAACAATAATATTAATAATGATAATAATATTGATAAAAAAAAAGCTAATCGCCCAGACATCGTGATCAAAGACTTACAAGAACAGAATGAGCTTTCTGATTGATATGGCAGTCCCTGCAGATTGTAGTGAATCTTTGAAGATCGTCAAAAAAAAAAGTCAAAATGCAAGAATCATGAAGAGTAAATCTAAGAATGTGACACGTGAGCACATAAATAATTCCAGTTGTATTTGGTGCCTTTGGATTGATTGGAAAAAGTCCCAAAAGACAGTGAAATATTTCCTCGTAGTTCATGCCTTAAAGAAACACGAAAAAATGTATTCACATTACAACTCACACATACATTTGCAAAAACACAATCAGGGGAAGATGATATGAAGCCATTTCTGAACTTAGGTCTTTGGTTGGGACCCAGAAGGAAATGTGTATAGAACAGAAACCGAAAAAATAATAATAATAATAATAATAATAATAATTATATTAAATAAAACAGAAGCTTAGTTTCTAAGAAAGTGTAATTGCGTTTCCTCTATTTTACTCTCGTAAGACAAGTTTTGCCGTCTTAAATAATTTTTTATAAGTGTTTGTTGACTTTGTGTATTCCTGTGAAAAGCTGATGATTTTCAGAATCATTTCGATCTAGAAGATATTGGAGATCTTTAAAAACTTAAAAAATCCAAGGTAAACATGTTGATTTAGAACACTAGCCCGGAGTCTGAATGATATATCGTTTTTTACAGTATTTACTTATATAACATATACATATATATGGCATAAATACATATATATATATATATATTAATTCTGTTATTTATTATTTTAAATATAGTCGTGGACTCAACTACATAGGTAAAACGACACAGCGTTTAGATGTTAGGATTAAACAGCACGTGCCTGCTAAAATACTCAACAAAAATTTTTCGTTTGGTGATACCATTCGAAATACATACGGGTTTTCTATAGCGGATCACTTCATAAATAATCTGACCTGTGCTATGGATTTTAGTGTGAGCTGGTTCTCTGTTCTGGCCATAGCTCACTCGTTATTCCATCTGAAGGTGTTGGAGACGCTGTACATCAGGTCCAGGCGACCCACTCTTTGTAATCAAAGAGACTGTTTGCTTGCGGTGCTGTGTCTCTAGCATCTTTGGTGTTATCACATTTATTATTATATTTTTCCCTGTTCGTTTATTCACGTCATCCGCGACAGACTTACTTCTCATAATTTGTTTCTCCGTCTACCGTCCTGACGAGAGGGGAGGAAAACCTGTCGACTTGTGTTCCTGTTTTTGTTTTAAATTCATCATGGCCTATAGTAAAATATTTCTTGCCTTCAATGTCATAACACGTTTACACACACACACATATATATATATATATAATAACTCACGGCTTGCATGACTGAGTTTCAAGCACGACGCATTTTTCAGGTGCTGAGTATGAACTTTATCAGAAATAATACGTATATTTATTAATATATACTTAATAGCTCTGTTATATTAATATCGGGCATTGTTTTATCAATACCAGCACTATAAGAAAAAACAACAATATAAGGAGAGTGAAATAGTTAAAGAAGGGACACTTGGAAAACTTGATATGTTTACATTTTAATGTTTATGTGAATTTAATGCCATTGTAAATATATATATATATATATATATATATATATATATATATATATATATATATATATATATATATATGCACAACATGCATATAAATATATTCAAATATATACTCATATATACGTATATGCAGAAATGTGAATCCTAATATGTACATACATTTAAGTATTTACAGTGGCATACATAAGTGTGTGTTTACATATGTATGCATTTTCACATACGTATTCCAAAGATTATAAAAGTATATATTTTTATTTTGAGCGAGATTCTTTCGCTGTTTTTTTTTCTCTTTTATTCTGTCAACTTCTCATTCGTCTTTCTCTCTCCGCATTTTTCATCTTTTCACTCTCTATATTCCCCTCTCTCCCACCCTCCTACATTTCCTTCCTTCTGTCTTTCTCTCACTCTAACGTTTTTCGTTCTCTCCCCCCACCCTTATTCATTTCTATTAGCTCCACGCGTCTTTCTCTGCCTTTCATTATTCTAGTTTTATGTTATCTTTTTTTTTTTTTCAAACTCAACTTTTCACTCGCCAGACGTAAGCAATCGATTTCCCACTCTGGATGGCCTAATGAAATATTAAACAAGTTTCTACTTCTCGATTTTTCGCTGCCAGGTAAAATATCTCCAAAACGAAAAGAAGTCTGATTCAATTAATTAAACAAAGTTTAGCGTTTTCAAAAAAAAAAAAATTAAATTACTCAAGGGAAGACAAGAAAATTAAATAAGTAAAAGAAATATTGAAATATAAACTCAGTTGTGCTTTTGTTGCGTTTACGAATTGAATAGAATTGGCAAATACGGCAAATCTCAAAACCGTCTCTGGGGAAGTGATGCCAGAAAATATGTACGATTTCCTCACGAAAGGATAATAAACGTCTTTTACCATAGCAGAGAGAGGAGATGCTTCTTTTACTTGGTCAAAGACTAAAAGATCAAACGAAGTGAATACATCTCAATGAGGTATATATATATATATATATATATATATATATATATATATATATATATATATATATACTGACAATATGAAACTGGTAAAACATACACATAGTCCTGTTTGTATGTATACCTGTAGTGAATATCTAAATACTTTTTTCTCCTGCTACCAACACGCGTATACAGACATTTCTACGCGTAAGTACATAAACGTGTGTGTGTGTATCTGCAAGTGTGTTTTAGCGCATGTATATATTTAATTTAAAGTTTCAAAATATTTACATACGTTTATATGTATATATACCTAGATATGAGTGAATAGATGTGTATCTTTATACGTATACAAGAGACAATAAAATTATATAGAGAGTGATCATAACATTTCTATAAGTAATTTCGGGTATTAAAAAGTTTTAATATATATTATTTCCTTCCAAAGCGAGTTAGTAATATAAGCAATCTATGTATGTTTATGTATAGATACATTGCATATATATATATATATATATATATATATATATATATATATATATATATAGATAGATAGATAGATAGATAGATAGATATAGATATCGATAACTATACTCGTTTAGAAAAACCCTCGAATTTTTGATTTGCCAATAATCAAATCAATCTCGAGGGAAAAAAAGGTTTTAAAAAAATTTTGGCCATCGCCTAAAATATGCGTTTCCCTTTGCCTCTTTACCCACTTTCCCTGACGATCCATTTAGGTGAAACCTAGGTAGGTTTGTCTGGCTCACTAGGTTTATATATATATATATATATATATATTCATAAACATACGTATGTATATATATGTGTGTGTGTGTGACGTTTTTGTGTTAAAATCTTATATATTTATTTGAATATACTTATAAATTGATATAGTTGCGAATTTATATATATATATATATATATATATATATATATATAGATAGATAGATAGATAGATAGATAGATAGATAGATATCAGGTGTTAAGAAGAAGGAATGAGAACGTATAGAATAACCGAAAGTAAAACTCAAATAGATAAAGAAAGAAAGCAAAGAAAGAACGAAAGAAAAAAAGAAGCAGAAAGACAAAGAAAGTAAAAAAAAGGGAAAAAAAAATAAAAGGGAAAAAGTAGAATAAAAACGGAAGAAAGCTCGGAGAACAATGAAAGAAAAAGGGCAAAATGACAGAAGTTGAAGAAAAGAAGAAGAAAGCAAATAAAAAATACAAGAAATTGGAGAGAGAAGTTCGAAATCAAAAATAAGGAGAAAGAAAGGAGAGAAAAGTCAAAATTTGATGAATGAAGTAAAGAAAGCACGAGGCCCTTCAAAAGAAAGAAAGAAAGAAAGAAAGAAATAGGAAGAAGACAAAAGGAAGGAGAAAGAAAGTACAAAACGCCTATATATAGATAGAGAAAGAAAACAGAAATAGGTAGAGAGAAAAAAAAACGAATAAACGAAAAATACAGAAACGTAAATTAAAGAAAACCAGCAAGAAAAAGAAAAAAAAGAAAAGGAAATGAAAGACAAGAGGGTGTAAATATGAAAGGGTTTGAAATAAGAGGGGGAGAAAGAAAAAGAAAAAGGAGAGAAAAACGGATATAACGAAAGAAAGTAAAGCCACACTAAGAGGAAGTCAAACAGCAAGAGATGGGAAGGGTGAAGAAGGAAGTGGGGAAAATGAAACTGGGTTGGCGGAAGAAAAATAGGAAGATGAAAAGAGAGACGTGACTCGTTTGCGATGCAAAAATCACGTGCGACTTTTTATTGTTCATTTAGAATTATCAACAAGATTTTTTTCTTTAATTCTAAAAATGGCTTCAATAAATAACCGAGAATTATGAGAGTTAAAAAAATGTCACACATTTGCTGTCTACTCATGATTCTCTTAACAATTTAGTCTCCTGCTTCATATAGATTTGCCATTATTTTTTGTCTCCAATTTCTGGCATTTTCTTTTATTATTTTTTTTTAAAAATATTTTTACGCTTCTGGCTTTTAATGATTTAATCCATGTTGTAAAGGTAAGAATAAAAAAGAAATCAGTGAAAGATTCTAATAAGAAGAACAAAAAAGCATAATGCAATTTTGCCAAGTTTTGCTTTGAACGAATAAACGAAAAAAGAAAAATTATTTGAAATTATTACTTTCGTTTTTGCTTAGCTTAAATTGTTTATTTCTTTGCGTTCATATATATATCATATATATATATATATATATATATATATATATATATATATATATATATATATATATATATATATATATATATATATATAGTCGCTACCTTTCAGCGGGGTTTTGATTTCAGACACATATTTCGGATATCTAAATCATGCAATATATGCACATAACCAAAACCCATTTCAACTTATTGTAAACCTGTTCTAAATAAAAGCAAATAGTGGCTTGACCTGATTGCTTTCAATATCATTAGCTCAACATCACTGATTCAGGGTAATATCTATTTGTATTCTTTGTCATTCATCGGAAATACTTTAATGGTAATGGCTAAAATCTAGACCGAATGTTCATTCGTAACTCATCTTTTCTGACAAAGCCTATGTAATTTTTTTGCATGTCAAAATTAGTTCTATTTTTTTTTCAAATGGTACCGACCCACAAATATATAATGCGTAATGGGATTTATTTTTGTTCTGCAATGATTGTCAGGTCATAGATTCGAACATTGCTAATGTACCGAAATTTCTAGAGGAATACACAGAAATTTCTAGAGAAATTCATAGAATTTACGAAGGAAAGAAGTTGACAGAAACAAGAAAGCAAGTAAAAAAAAAAAAAGAAAATCAGAAGAAGGTTCGCCATCCCAAAAAAGAAGAAGAAAAAAGAGAAATGTTGAAAGTTAATGAATGAAAGAAAGCACGAAACCCCTTAAAAAGGAAAGAAAGAAAGAGGAAGAAGGCAAAATGAACGAGAAAGGATGTCAAAATGAATATATATATATATATATATATATATATATATATATATAAACATAAAAAAGAAATAATCACGCATAGAATCAATCAGCAATGAATGCTGATTGATTCTATGCGTGATTATTTATTTTCTATAAATATAGCATAGTTTAAGACTATATTTCTTCATATACATACGTACATATATATATATATATATATATATATATATATATATATATATATATAGAGAGAGAGAGAGAGAGAGAGAGAGAGAGAAAGCAGACATATGTAGCGAGAAAAACGAATAAACGAAAGATACAGAAACGAAAGTTAAATAAAATTGGTAAGAAAATGAAGAAAAAAAATGAAAGGAAGAATGTATAGAAAATAAAAAAAAACAAGATCGTGTAAATATTAAAGGTTTTTAAATAAAGAGAAAAAAGAAAACTCATTCTGTCTGATTAGGGCATCAGGTCATAAAAAGTCAGAAAATACTTTGATGACTCAGTAATGGCGATAGAATTTTTTTTAAAAAGTCAAAGAACAATTATCATCAAATGAATATTATAATTATGCTTTGTATCGCAGGCAAATTCGCAACATGAATATATATTTGTCTATATACCGCATTCAAACATACGCACGAATAACCCCCTGTTTGTCTGCATAAACACAGACACAGATAAACACATTTATTTTTTAAGTCTCGCATAGTACGTCGGATAATCCAATATTCTACATTTCCGGGTTTTAAATTTATGAGGAAACATAAATTTACTATACTTTGTGATTGTACCGTTTAATGGAAATACAAGAGCAGATAACTCATTTAACAGATTCCGTCTACTAAGTTTCAGGCTTGCCTTCCATGATGACGCGAGGTTTTTAAAGTTGGATTGCAATGGTTTTGTGATATTTACAATAGATGAACAAATCGAGAAACGGTGCCTGCATTAAGTTGAGTGAAGCTCGGCAGTTCTTTTATTTAGAGTCTCTAAGGATTCGTAAAGCTTTTCACACAAAATTTTGAAGCCATTTGAGGGTCGATGCAAGATGCTGAGCAGTTATATTTAACAATTACGAGAAAATGAGGAAAATACTACTTGAAACACTTCAGAAAAATCGCCGCAAACAATCTATCTCTCTCCCACATGCTTGGACACAAGGGTATAGATGAAAGTTAAACAGAATCGAAGTCGAGATGGAAAAACCTTCAGGAAGAAGACTTTGTGATGTCAGGTATAGAGAAGGTGCTTGGTTGGATACATGTCTAACGATACTAACTTAAAGGGGAATAATGCTGAATTGAATAATATAGGAATTATCTTATTTATTGGGTATCATTTCCTACATTTTTAGGCCTAGACCTAGAAATGCCGAATATTTCCTCCTAGGGAGGCAAGGAAAATATCATAATGTTATTTCATTCTGAATTTTGAGAAAATTGCATATGACAGTAAATATACAACACTTTCAATTTTATAATCCTACCTATCACATTTAAAACTAAAAGGAAGAAAACAGTTTGTACGAATGTGCTCGAAAGGATAGTGAAAACGGGAAAATTAATTTTAAAGGGTAGATTATATAGCCTTAATATATATATATATATATATATATATATATATATATATATATCCCAAACGACCCTCCGCAGGTTTTGAATTCAGAGTTGTCCTTCTCCTAGACCAGTTGCCATCCAAGGCTATTATAGAACCCAGTCTGTCCTGCTATTTTACCCATAGCTGGAGGGAGATGAAGAGGATACATACCTTTCCCAAGGGTATGTAGGGAACCTTGTGGCATGTATTCGGTGCACCAGGTTTCTGTATTCGTCCCTCCAAAAAGTGTGGCTGGTCCTGCACAAGGCCTTCACCACTATAAACAAATCTCATGTGCCGGTGTCGGGACGTCGGTTTCCTGGGGACTTATCGGCCTGACCCTCATACGTCGAACGCGACGGGAGAGTCGATTATATATATATATATACACACACACACACACATATATATATATATATATATATATATATATATATATATATATATATATATATATTATATATTCATATATTTAATTCTATTTTCTTTCCTTTTTATATATATATATATATATATATATATATATATATATATATATATATATATATATGTATGTATTATATTTATTAGATATAATTATATGCAGGAACTATAAATATTCAACTTAAGTGGATATTAAGAATAAAAAAAAAACACGAGAACTAATGCTAATATTAGGTTCATAAATTCAATATATTTAAGTGTAATTCTCCTTGAAGCAATCCATGCATAACGAAGTTGTGCATTCTTTGACCCATACCATTTTCCACTTATGTTTTTATCGAGATGTAGGCACACAAACATAGTTTGTTACCGCAGTTTTATTTGCAGACAAAGACTCCAGGAAATGACATAGCATCATAAATTCTAGAATAGAGAATTGGTCATTTGACTCGAATCATGAAAGAAGAATAACTGTAGGCTTTGAAAAAAAAAATGAATCATTACTTGAGGATATGTTTAAGGATGATACTCACCATATATATATATATATATATATATATATATATATATATATATATATATATATATGGCTGGTAGACTAAATGTCAACTAAATTACGGAAAAATACAAATAAAACTGTCATCTCAACAAAAATTATAGAAAAAAATGTCTTGTAATACTAAAGAGTAAATTTATTCAATAAAAAACACCATTGGCTTCAGTCACGGTCGCCAATGACTTCGGATACTCCTGCAGCTCGTCTCGACAGTCTCTTTGTTTAAGTTGGTGAATGCTGCCATAATCCTTGCCTTCAGTTCATGGTTGGTGTTACAATGTTATTTGTAGATCTCTTCTCCACTGCCCCCCCACCACCACCACAATAATCAAGAAGATTGCAGTCTGGGGAGTTCGGTGGCCAGATGTAAGGGATGATATGTTTCCAGAAATTGTCTGACAGTTATGACTGAGTTTTTCTTTGTTCTGTCACATGGTGTAGAGTCCAATTGCCTGACATATGTTTTTCCAGCAGACAAGCATGTCACCCAGGGCAACAGTAGCTTTTCATTACATAAATGTAGTCTTCTGTGTTGAATTCGGGACCCTCACCAACAAATTCTGGAGTTGTTTTCTTATCACCGCCAACTCTTTACGAATCCACTACACGCTCCTCAGATTGACACCCAAACACTCTGAAATGTTCGTCTTAGACATTTCATGCCAAACAATAGAGCAAACAGTTTCCAAATTTCTGGCGGAGTGAATTGCATCATGGGGCTCTTTATCTCACAGATTGGGCCCAACTGACTCTACTATAATGTGCAGTCGACGAAATAAAAGAAAAAAAAGCATGCGCAAAATTAAAAATATAAAATGCCGACAATTTACTATCCCAACCGATATATATATATATATATATATATATATATATATATATATATATATATATATATATATATATATATATATAAAAGAAAGAACAGTAAGATATAAAATCCTGTGTTCTTATAGATATTTTTACTTTTACATATATATATATATATATATATATATATATACAAATACACACAACTATATGTGTGTGTCTGCATATATATATATAGATATATATATATACAAAGGCGTGCTGGAAAGTTTCTTTGCCTCTTTAAGAAAATATCCTAGAGTTGCTCATATTCACCGCAAATGTAGCAAAATGATTCTCAACATATCTTTAATCTCTCAGAAGAAAATTCTGATGTTTGGTCATAGACATACTGATTTACACAATTGGTGTAGATTGTTATATAGTTTACATAACAGAGGGTCGTTTATTTATTGATTTGCATTCTTCTACGTTAATCGACTCTTTTTAAGTATAACATATCTATCTTAGGTGATTATAACTAGCTTAATAGTTAACCTCAACTCGACTTTTACATAGGTATATACGTGTAATTCCTTTCGAAGAGGACTACCTTACTTAGTGCCCTAAAGATTACAATGTTTCTTTCTTTTTAACAACGTCGCTATATATATCGAGTGCGTTTGGTGACTGGAATAATTGAATCGCATAAATATCTATCTAAATATATCACAGATGAACACAGACACTCACACGCAAAAGCACGCACACACTCATACACACATACTATATATATATATATATATATATATATATATATATATATATATATATATATATATATATATATGCATATGATTCATGTCATGCATCTATTTCCACATTCTCAATATGGCTAAATGATTGGCGTCTCTTGTCTGAAGATCTCTTCTGGCATGGACAAATGTACAAAGATAGCCAAACAGCACCTGAAGGAAATTTGGATTCCTCTCAAAGGACCATAATTATTTCTCCCCTCTCCAAGACCTTTGCAAATGCCAAGACTATGGCAGTATCGATTCAGCTCCTATGATGGCACTAATCATCATTATCAAGAGAAGAAGTTTCATATTCGAAAGAGAATAATAAGATCGATAATTGACCTGTCTTTTCCAATAAGCGACTGCAGCCTCTACTACACCAAACAGTGGTGCAATCCCTAGCCATTAACTTAGACACACATTCGATTGCTCGTCTGTACTTTCAAACAATTATTCTAGTGTTATCAAGTTTTCGAAGTTTTATGTGTGCATCCTATTATTAAACTTGTTTATTTATTGATATTTATTTATATTTATAATAGATATTTCCAAGGATTATTTATTACAATACAATGCTCACATTTGAACTTAGGAATTTTCGAGTTGCTAATCTACCTTACGGGAGATAAAAACGTATTTTAATTGTTGATAATCAAGTGGCAAATATACAGATTATTTCATCAGCCAAAGAGATCAATATATACACTGACATGAAAATATTTGCACTATGAAGCATGTATAGTTAAAGTTGGGTAGCCCCATAGTATCATGCCAACATCGAAATGCCAATACTTAAACAGCGTGGACAGCTACTAAGCTGATCATGCCAAGACAACGAGAATTTTGAGAATTCGAACATGACTGTGTCATTCGCATGAGATATTCTATTACTGAGATTGTATAGAGAACAGACCTCTCTTGATCTATGTTGTATGTTGTATGGGAATACCTCATGGAAGGCATTACCAGCAGTAGGGACAGCATAACTGGAGGCCTCTCTCTAGAAATGTACGCATTATCAATGGACATTTTAGCAAATATCATTCACATTCAATATAGGAGATACTAGGTGCATACCCAGCAGGTCAGAGCTTTTTCGAGATGACAGTACGGTCAAAAAAATATCGGGTTGGATGATTGTAGTTCTATGATAATATTTTGCTCTGCTTCCGGACTATTTCCACAGATTCAAGGGCTCGGCAAGCCAATAATTTTGGATTATTCCAACAGGATCTTGTATGGTTTCATCGGGTCTAAATGGCCCAGAACTGACTTGATCATTCTGG